AAGTGGCCATGTGGGGGACTCTACCTTTAAGACACTGCAGTCCACCTCTGTGGCCTGACGGGGGTGGTCTCCCTTCTGGGCACTTGTAGTGTGGGCCTAATTCTGTCAGGCTCTTTGTCCACCTCACTACCAGTGCAACGGTGGGCTTGGCTAGCTATCTTCCTGTGTTTAGGAAGTGAAATGGCATCAGAGGCACTTAGCCAGTCACCATGAGGATAACATAAAGGTGGAACTGTTTATCCTTTCAATTCATTTAATTTTTTTTCTTTTCCTTGTTTTAAAATCATTCTCACTTTCAATGTAATGATGTGAGCTGAGAAATTCCCACCCCTTCACTTTTTGCATTGTTCATAATAACAGGAATGCAAATTGCAAAATAGGCAGTTGTATCGAAAACTGCTAGATGTCTCTTAATGAGAAGAAATTATCATTTCTGATAAAAATAACCTGTGTGCTCTGCTTTTCTGTTGTACCTAACAGAGTATGTGTACTTCCAAATGTCATTTTAAATTGTTAAAAAACAGCTGCAAAATAACATCCTTTTGTGGTTTTCCTTTTAATTATAGCATTTGGGAAATTAGCATCTAGAGCCATGATAATTCTAGTAAAGTAAAATAGTGACTTGTACTTAATTTAAATGAAGCTGCTTTCAAATGCAATTACAGTTGATATAGTTTACTTGATACTGACATACTTGCATTTATATTTTATAATCTATTGTGGCTTGCTATGTAAATAATTACCATGAGGTATGGGAAGAAATGCATTTAAAAGTATAATTAGTAGATATATAATACTTAATAGAAGTTGTATGCTTTTTAGCAACAGCTCACATCACTTCATTTAAAATACCATTCCTAACTTTGTAATTATGACTCTCAGAATGTTTGTGGCTTTGTTTTTAAGACTGGGCATCTTTGTGGGTTTTTTTTTTTGTTGGTTTATTTTTAAATTGCTACTCCTATTTTTTTTAGGAAATGGCAATCATTATTTACCAAAGGCTTTCAGTAGAAAATAGCGAAGCTCTATTTAGAAACAGGTCACAGAAATGAAGTCACAGCTCTTCATTGAGAAATAAAATGGGACTCTCTGATTTTTTGATTTAGCATTTTACATTTCCATAGGTCTTCCCATTTACATAGATCCTACCCAAAGCTGCGGCTCCAACCTGTGGGGTTGGCAGCTGCCATTGATCCAAGGGTCTCCTTCTCCACCCCAACCAAACATTCTAAGCTGAAAATGCCTCCCTGAGCAAGAGCTGGCGGTCATCAGAGGCCTTAGGTCTCCTCCAAGCCTGGCTCAGACCATCTCTCCTCTGCCCTGGCTAGCACTGCTCATCTGTGGCACCTGCCTGTCCCTCTCTTTGCCTTTCCTTACTGTTGCAGCTTCCCTCCCAGCTATTTCCTCCAGCATCTTTCATCTCCTTTCTCAGTGCTGCTGTTGTCTTGGGTGATTCTGTGTGGATCACTCATCTTACAACCTAGTTACTTAGGTAGTACTCCCTTCATCCTGAAGACTCCTTTGATTTCCTGCTCTCTTTTAAGCCTTGTTCTGTTCTCATTTTGTTCCTGTTCACTATCTAATCAACTCCTCATATCAATATTGAGCCATGCTCCTCTTGAATCCTCAAGTAGTCCTTTTGTTTGTCACCTGCCAGAGTCCCAGCTCGGGAGCCCTTGAGCTGCCTCTTCCCTGAGTCAGTGTCCAGGCATCTCAGCTCAGTGCTACAAGAGAAAAGCACATCAGCACAAAGAGCTGTGCCTCTGTAAATTAATAGTCTCAAAACCTGAACCGTGGCCAGTTGGCTTATTTTTTTCCATCTCATTTTCTTTATCAGTTCTCTTAGCTCTGGGCCCTTTCACCTATTACAAATAATCTCCTTGCCCCTGCAACCCTACCATCTGTCTCCTTGCTCTTAGCACAGGGCCTTGTTTCTAACCTTACAGAATACAGAAGCCTAAGATAATAACACCCTCATGTCCCAGATCTACTCTGCAACACCCTTTTATCCTGCTTTCCTGTCCTAAAGGCAGAACTCCTGCTTGCCTTTCTCAGAGTAACTATACCCACCTGTCGGACTGACGGCTATCAAAATCCAACCAGTTATCTAAGTTTGTCAGCCTCCTAAACATAGAAGAGCCTTTGTTTCTTTACCCTAGTTGTCTTGGATCGTGCATGCTAAAATAGCTTCCTAATTTGTGTGTTGGATTCCCACATTGCTCCCCTAACATCTGTTCTCTACGGACTCCCTTTGTATGTGCCCTCCAGCAATGCTGTCCAAGATACACCACCATCTTGAGGATAAAGTTCACAGTCTTAACTTCCAAGGCCCTTACCTGTCTGGTTTCTGTTGTCCTCTTGGGCTTCATGTCTTAGCATTTCTCCTATCACAATCCAGAATCTGGTTTTATTGGGCTTCCTTGAGTTCCCTATATCAGAGAGAAAGAATGCCACAGGTAGGACCTAGAAACAGAAACCTTCCACGTTCAGGGATTAGTACCCTTCTGTGGGTATGACATTCTGTCACGGACTAGGATAGGAACCACACCTTACAGACTGCTGTATCCTTTCATACAGTACACTGCCTGACTTCTGTACTTAATTTTAAAAAGTAAGTGCTCAGTTAAATGTCACAGGAGGTATTACACATTTTATGACCTCCTTGAGGGCACACAGCTCCCTAACAGCTGTAGTGGTGGGCAGTGTAGATTTTAACATCAAAGGAGTCCTTCCTCTGCTACTCATTTACCCTAAGCCTCAGTTTCATGCTTTGCAATTGTGAGTGATGAGTATGGCTGCCTCCCTAGGTTGGGGGACCAGAGGGAAAGTAAAATGTGCCTAGTGTCAGGCACAGAACCCGAGGAAAATGAGAACCGTATTGTAAACAAGCCTTGGATGATGGATTTTATTTCAGATTCGCAACTCTTAGTGTGACATTTGCCTCATAGCCACATACATGAGACATTGTCCGGCCAGCATCTACTTACGGTGCACTGGACTGTTGTTCCCAGGAAAAAAAAACGAGAATAAAGAATTCCATTACAGAAAATCTTTGGCTTTAAATGTATTTTATCCAGTAATACTTTCTGACTATGAAAATATGTAGTCTGGCTGGGTGTGGTGGCACGTGCCTGTAATCCTAGTACTCAGGAGGCTGAGACCATTGGGAATTCAATGCCAGCTTGGGCTACATATGTGAGTTCAAGGCCAGCCTGAACTGAGTAGTAAGATACTGTCTCAAAAAGAAAGAAAGAAAATATGTAGTCTGAAAATAACCAATTTTGAAATTTTCAAGGATTCTGTTAAATAAAAGAAAGTAATCACATTTTAATTTTTTTAAATTTTAAATTGCTTAATTTTAGTGAACACCTGTACCTACTTGATGTGATGGCATATGGGCTGAACTTTATGGCCAGAAAAAGCTTTTCGTATGTATTGACATGACTGATGTCAAATGGACAGCTATATCTATAATAGGCTGCAGGTTATTTTCATTTGACAGTGAGCTAAATAGAACCTCAAATAACAAATTTCAGTGAAGGGCTTAGCATTTATATTTTATATCATGAACTTGAGCATTGCTTATAAATTGAGTCAATAGAGGGTACTTTGGAGGTTAGATGTGGGGGGTTCTAAAGTTGGTTGCACCAAATTTTACCCTGGTGGCTTTGAACAAGTTATTTGAAATATCTAAGCTTTGGGTTTCTCATCTGTGAAATGAAGATAACATTTACTACCTTAAGAATTTTCAGTAGGTTTAAGAAGGAAGATAAGATGTGTGAATGGGCACAGCACCTGCTATGTCTGTACCAGTGATGACAAGCCTTTGAGAGCTTTTAATGATACAAACAGCCCACTGCAGCACATGTGCCGTAGGTTTGCCCCCAGTGTCACGGACATACTGCTCTGCTTAGGAAAGCTACCAGGCATCTTATTCTCACTATCAGCCCGAATTAGAATGAAAAGAGATCCTGTTGAAGTATTTGTTAATCATTATAAAAGTAACTCTTTTAGCAATTTGGATTTGCACTTTATCCAAGGAAAACAAATTACGGTAGATTTTCCCATAGTTCAGCTTTTCAGCTGTGTCTTCTATTTATGACAACAGGAAAATATGTAAGCTTAAAATTTATAGCTCATGCCGTTTAACAGGAATAGTGCAGCCTTGCAATAATCAAATCCAATGTTTGGGAAATCAGCTTGTGTTATCAGTATTTTAATGAACTAAGATTCCCAACAATCTGCCTCCTTTTATTTTATTGCCAGTGTGTTAATCTGTTCACAGTCTCAATGAATCATGAAGTCCTATGCCACCTAGTTACTAATTGCAGGAGCATCTCAAACCTGCAGATCATAACTACCTATGTGCTGTTCGTGATTATTACTCGTACTCAGTTATTATCAGTACGTGATTATCATGAGAATTGTGCCAAGCATAACAGAGCTAACTTTTTGGAGTGCTTGCTTCATGAGTTTTGGAAATATAATATTTAGAAAGAGACCTTTCAATTTGTGCATGGCTGTTGTCTTTTAAGTACCTTACTGCTTTTCTCCTGATGTTTCCTTGTTAAATTATTTTCTTAATTGATGTCTGTGCTCTCTCTCTCTACCCCCTGGCAGTCTTTTCCCTGTGAAAGGACCCATCTGTCTAAGGTAGAGATTCTGCATTTTTACCTACTCATCCGTGACTAAGCTGCATGGCATAGATATGCTTATTATTTAGAACTCATGTGTAACTCTGCTTTTTCAAGATATAGTGACATTTGCTTGTTTTTTGTCAAGTCAGATTTATCCTTTTCAGTCTGAATTGAAACATCTAGAAGTATGTCTAATTTTTAATCACAGTCATAGAGCAAAGAGTGCATATTAAACTTGCTAATCCATGATAATTAAAAACAATAGTTAAGAAACCAATGCTGTCTGTAATATATGATTCATATACAGAGTGAGAGATAAGAGCTCATTCAGAAAAGTGACTTATTTTCATTTCATTTTATTAGACTTGAATTTGAGCGACAACAACGTGAAGAACTTGAAAAATTAGAAAGCAAGAGGTAAGGTGTATGGGGCTCAAGGTTTGTGGGTTCCCAGTGAAGAACCTGCGCCCCCTCCCTTGCATCTATTTCAGTGCATCTCTTCCCCATGACTGAATTGACCTGTCTTCTATGGTAGTAACTTCTTTTTAACTGGTTGAGTTTACTTCATGTTTAAATTTCTTCAGTAGTCTATCTTCAAAAACTTGTAAGAATGGGGGAATAGAGTCAACCAGCAGATTCCATATACCACTTTAATACATCAAATATGTATTTGTTTGAATTTAACTCAGAAACCTTCTGTTCATCTTCCTTGCATTTATTTTTGAAAGACCTAAGGAAGGACTGAAGGATGAATGCAAAATCAAAAGAATTTCCCCTTCTTATTACCCGATCCTCCATTTTTAAACACCTTCCCATATTGTTGTTGCATTTATATTTTCCATCTGTAAATCACCCTTCATAGCTTTTGCTCATTTTTCCTTTAGGATGTGCATGGGTGTCTGGTCTGGCTGTTTGTTTGCTTTGGAGAGTACTTTGTATGTTGTCAAATCTTCTTTGTTTAATAAAACTCTACTTTCTCCTTTTCTTTTTCTTTCGTCTGTCCTATTTAACAAGCTAAAACGCATACCATGTTAGGTATTGGAGTAGAAACTGAGCCATAGAAAATCTTCAAATTTTCTAGACTCTGAAGCATAAGTGTCACAAATGAATCTGTTTAGTTTCTAGCATCATGAGGGACAGATGTTTGGTGGTCAGGAGATGAAGACCATCTACCCATACACCTGCTGCTCTGTATTGTTACTAGAAAGGCCATCCTGACCCCAGAACCTGGCTTAGCACTCCAGGAGGTAGCATGCCACTCCCAGAACCATGCATTTGAGTACTCTAATGGGAATTCCAGTTATTTTCAGTGTTATGCATCAGTAAACTAATCTTTTGGGCCATTTGGTGATCACCATTTTTCCTAATGTAGTGATTAAGTGCTAAGTAGCATGTAGTTAGCTGAGCTGGATCAATGAATTGTCAATTATCTTGACTTTGATATTCGACCTCAGTGAGTTGAAGACAGCATAGCACTTTTATGTAATGTCATCTTGTACCTGAACTTCTTCTGAGATTTACTCTTTGCACTGAATAAAATTCTTCAGAGTAAATTTAAGTTTAAATTGGACATTGTTCTTTCTCTTTGAACTCAGTTTTTAAAAATTATATCATATATAACACCTTATGATTCTAGGCTCCACAAAAAAGTAGTATCCGAGGCTACTTCTGTAGAGTAGCCCAGTGATACATTGGACAGTTAAACAGTGAAAAATTTAAAGACCATGTTGCTGAAAACTTGATGGGAAGGCACTTCCTGTGTTATTTTAATGGAGGGTTTGGCTCTATGTTACGTACGTGTTCTCAAATTGAAGCATCATTTGACTATAGCGAGCCAATAATGATGGGTCTGTACTTGCATTGCAGGAAGCTCATAGAAGAGATGGAGGAAAAGCAGAAATCGGACAAGGCAGCGCTGGAGCGCATGCAGCAGGAGGTGGAGACGCAGCGCAAGGAGACCGAAATCGTCAAGCGTGAGATTCGCAAGCAAGAGGAGAGCCTCAAGCGCCGAAGCTTCCACATTGAGAACAAGCTCAAGGACCTGCTGGCCGAGAAGGAAAAATTTGAGGAGGAGAGGCTGCGGGAGCAGCAGGAGCTCGAGCTACAGAAGAGGAGACAGGAGGAAGAGAGCTTTCTGCATTGGCTCCAGGAACGCAGTGGCAGCGAGCAGGCTGAGAAGATGGAGATATTCCAGGAGCTGGACCGGCTGCAGCAGGAAAAAGATGAGCAGTACACCAAGCTGGCCCTGGAAAAGCAGAGGCTGGAGGAGCAGGAGAAGGAGCAGGTGCTGCTAGTGGCACAGCTGGAGGAGCAGCTGCGAGAGAGGCAGGAGCTGGCCCCACTGCAGCGAGGCGAGGTCCTGCGAGCTGAGGAGGAGAAGCGGGAGCTTGAGGGCATCTTGGCGGCCTTGCTGCGGGCCAGGGAGGTCTCAGCCACAGGGAACATGGGTGACCAGGGGCCAGATGTGCGTTTCCTAGAGTTCAAAAGAAGGCAGCTAGTCCACCTGGCCACTGCAGAGCAGGAGCTGGCCCAGCAGGAAGACCGCCTGAGTAAAGAAGTCCAGGAAGAACAGGAAGCCCTGGAGCGCTTACAGTGTGAAAAGAACAGGGATTCCAGGTTGGTGGCAAAAAATGATAGTGGCCCAAGTATCTCCCAGGTGGCTCATGATTTAGAGAAAATAAAGGCAGCAGAATGCAGACTGCGGTATAAAGAATGCCTGCTACAGGACCTCCTGCAAAATCACCTGCCAGCTCTGTTGGAAGAAAAGCAGAAAGCACTGGAAGTCCTTGACCAGGGCCCACTCAGCTTGGACAACACTCTGTATCAAGTAGAAAAAGAAATGGAAGAAAAAGAAGAGCGGCTGGCCCAGCACCGAGCCAGTGCTCGTCAGCTGCAGCAGCTCCAGGCTACCTTCGAATTCACCACCAGCGTGGCCAGACAAGAAAAGAAAGTGAGGAAAAGGGAGAAGGAGATTCTGGAGTCCCAGGAGAAGCATCAGAGAGAGGCTCTGGAGTGGGCAGAGGCCAAGCTGCAGCGCAGGCACCCAGCCCAGCAGCGGCACTCTGCCCTGGGCCCAGAGGGCGAGGAACAGAGGCGGAAGCTGGCCATGCACAGCAGCAGTAGCAGCGAGCCGTCAGAGCTCCTGGCTAGCCTGGAAGCTGAGCAGGAGGCCCTAGAGAAGGACCAGGACAGGTGAGACCTGGAACATAGATCGTGGTATACAGTAGGTGCCAAACATTGTTCCTTTATGCCCTGCTTAGGGTGTATCTCACCACCTTTTCTAGAAAGCAGTTCTCCTAACTTTTCTAGTCTCTAGTTACTTTATGAAACCCGACAAAAGTGCACCTGAACGCTCTTTCATTTTTCCATAGGATCCTTGTCCTAGAACCATTAGCCTAACAAAAACTGCATACACAAAGCCTTGTCCGTTGCTCCCCTAACCTGTGGAATGCATAGTGGTTTGATAGTACAGAAGCCTGGATTCCTCCTCCTTTCTCTCCCTCCATCCCTCCTCTCTGTCTTCTGTCCTCCTACCTCTGTTGTCCCCTCCACTCCCTCTAATTCCCTTCCATCCCCTGTCACTTGTCACTTTCCATTCCTTTGCTCCCCCACTTCCTTCTCACCTCTTTACTTTCCTCCCTCTTCATCGCTGCCCTTCCTCTTGAGTTGCTAATATCTTTCTGACCAGCGTTTATTGCAGTAAAGCATCATCCTCCACGTCCATAAACTAGGTATAGTATACAGGCTCCCACAGCCTGGGGAGAACTAAAACCCAAGACTTCTCCCACTCCATTGGTCCACAGTATTTGAAAGAAAACCTCAGGACTCTGTTAATCCCAGCATGTGTGGGGCTGAGGCAGGAGGATTGTGAGTTTGAATCCAGCCTGCATGACAAAGTAAGACCCTGTTTCAAAAAACCAACCAAACAAAACTCTCCAGAGAGTTCTGGACACAGTGGGATATGTGATCATGTTTGGTGATACATGGATATTGTTTTTGGTGTTATGAAAAATAAAACTTTAGTCATCTAGCACTCTTGATAGTAAGGAAGGAACATTTACCTTCCTGCATCTGTTCCCTGTCACTGTGCATTTTGAGACAGTAGGTTCTCAAAACAACTGCATTGTATTTGAAAAATTGAGAGCATCTCTTCTGGGAGCCCTGCAGACATGTACTAAGCCCCCTGAAGGGCTGATGTCCACTGGGTGTGCAAACATCACCCAGTTTGGAAGCCCACAAGGAGGAGTCCTAGCTTGGCCTAGCTCTCACTTTCTGGGTGACCCTAAGTGGGAGCATTGTCTCGGGACCTCAGTGGCTTCTCTGTTCAGTGCAGTGGATGAGGCCTTTCAGATCCAGAGCCTTTGATTTAAGGTCTCAGTTGAGACTAACTGTAGCCCCAACTGAAGGGACTAGAATGGTGCCCTCTCCTACCACAGCACCTCCAGAGGGGACATCAGCAGCCTCCAGCTTGGCCCTTGTGGTAGAGGCATAGTAGAGTGTTGGTTGCTGATGACACAACTGATTCAAGGTGTCACTCTAGCCTCTGCCCCGTTGTCTATCCTGAATGGGCAAGACCACTTCCTTTTAAATAATGGGTTTAAATTGTGGATTATATGTACAATCACTCCCTGGTAATTCCTTCAGGCAAAACAGCAACAAAATAACAATAAAAACCCAAAGTGCCATAATTCAAGAGAAATAGGTAGGAGGTTTAAGAAAATGATTGCAGGTATGCTATGTAAATGAAATTGCTGGACAAAGCTCCAGCCCCAGGAAATTTAAAGTAGTGGAGGGCACGCTCTCAATTTGTATCCTGTTGTGTGCAGTAAGAGTGCAGCGGGAGCTCTTAGCTTGATGTCCCTGGCTTTTCACAACCAGCCATTTAGTATTAATACTCTGTAATAGCAAATGCAGGATTGCCATTTCTGTGGAGGCGATTAACATCAGCATTCCAGCAGAAGCCACACAGAGGAGGCTGTGAGCTTCTTGAGTTCTGGTGAAGTAGGCATTGCTGAGATCAATTCAGGCCATGCTAGGCTTTCTGCTCTGTCTGTGAGGCCCCTCCAACTTTCTCTGGGTGTTTCTGTTGAGTTTTATTATTTTTCGAGTTTTTCCTGGCCAAGCCAGGACCAGACACTTGGCGTCTTGTGAACTTCTACTAAACTACTAAATTTATCTGGGATAAGATTGGACAGAAATACACTGAACGTGGCTTTCCCATTGGCCTCTGAGTCCTTAGGATCTGGGTTTAATTCATTTTACTGTCATCTTTTCTACCACCTGCTCATTCCAGCTGCCCACATAACTTCCGTCAGGCAGCCCTAGGAGAAAAGCCCATGTGTCACTATAGCAGGAAAACTGTTCATATATATATTGTTATATTTTCTTATCTGATAATGTAATAATAGAGATGATGCCAACCATGAGGAATAATCCTGTGTAACTCAAACTGTTTTAAATCCTATATATGTGTTGTCATTTTCTCTTCCAATAAAGTGAGTGCCATCATCCCATTGAAGAGATGGGGAAATTGAACCTGCAGTGGTTATGCAACCACTGGGAGCGAGGTTCACAGTTAGGAGTGGCAGAATGGCAACTTGGATCTAGGTCTATTTCCACTCATCTCTTAGCCACTTTGTGCTGTTCTCTACTGACCATGTGGGTGCTGCACAGGTAGACCAGCTCTTCACATGACATGTCTTTTTGGATTGCCTTATTTGTTCCTGGCTGCCCATATAAATCTCAGTCTTGCTGGGGCCCCAGTCAAATCTCATTTCCTCTGTGGAGTCACTGCTACAGTCTCAGCTTGACAGATCCTTTTAAACAACTATTGCAGGTATCTTTTCTACTGTGAACATTGTTGATGATCTGTATACAGCCTGCTGTGTTCCTTGGCATTGCTGAGACCCTGTTGACATGGTTCCCTGATTCTTGCCCAGCTCTGAACTCCTGACTTCACTCTTTTATGCATATTCTTCTCTCTTTTAAAAATACTGTGTGCTCAGCAAGTTGCTAACTTGGAGGCAGATGAAGGCCTGTGTTAAACTGGGCATTGCCTCCTGTGGAAACCATGCTTAGTTACGTGGTGACCATTTGATCGCATTTCTGAGCGTTAAGAACTTGCATTTCACGTTCAGGATACAGCATCAGGTTGCTGGTGGCAACATCATGGTGTGTCGGTATCTGAAGCTAGAATCTCTGATTTTGGGAGCTGAATGAATTAAAAAGATCAGCTGAGTCTCTGGTTTGATCCATAAAAGAAATAGAGGCCCAGTCTGAAATAATTTGCTCACAGTTAAGCAGCAGATGGGCTGCAGCCTTCAGATGCTGGGCATGTGTTTCCTAGGGCCAAATTTACTGGTAGGCATGGCCCTAATCTAGCCTGATGGCCCGAGATGCAAGCTTGCCTGGGTCAATTGGAAAATGGCCTTCTACTTAAAAACCTCCCATCAAGTAGGCCTCATATTTGATGGCCTTTTTATCCATTGGAGTTAATTTGCTTTCACAATTTATAGCTTATTTTAATTTTTGTCCTGCTCTCCTAGGTCTGCCTACCTTCCTTCCCCTTTCCGTTGCCTCTGGTCTAGCCAAAGTGGATTCCTTCAGAAGAGCTCCTTTATTGATACTGCTTTCTGCATCTTGGGCATCTTCCACCTCTTCTCCAAATCCTCACATTACCCACCTTGGTATTTGAAGAATAAACTTAGGAACACCTTGATCATGATGCCCCTCTTCAGCTGGTGGTTTCCAAAAGCTCTTTGAAACATGGATCTCTTTGTCAAGCAGAAGTATTGATCAGAACCCAAATATGTATCCCACAACTATCCCTTGCCGAAGCATGAGTTAGGAAACCCAGAACCCTGCACAGCTACTGCCAAGGACTTGCTAGTGTCTTTCCCTTTCTTCGTTTAACTCCAACTTTGAGATGCTTGCAGTACTTGTCCTGTACCCTTCTTATAGCTCATTCTTGACTTACACCTTTTTTTACCGATGTGTGACGCCCTTTCTACTAGGAGGTAAAGCTCTTTGCACATAGAGTTCTTGTCTAGATCTGCTGTTTTTCAAAACAACGTCTCCTACAAGCCATGTGCTTGTGAAATACCATTAATGAATGAATTCATGTGGTCTCCATCTCTGTGGATTAGAACATGAAATCCAGCAGCTAAAGCAGGTAGTCTGTGAGGTCAGTGTTGTACAGAGATTATCAGGGAGGCTTGCAGGGGAGGGCTGCACTGGCTAGTTTGTACCATTGTTCCTGCATAGGTTACTTTGTATATGGAGGTACTTCTTGTGTGTGAGAAGCAGTCTGTCTTTGCCCCCTGCTGTCTGGCTAGTAATGGGGTGAAAGATCATGTGAAGGAAATCAAGGGCCTGAGAACTGGTCAGGCAAATCCATGGAGTCTTGGTGCAGGTAGTCTATATGAGAAGGTAGAATTAAAAGCTTTAGGAAAACCAGCTCATCCAGAATAAAGTGGTGTAAGGCCAGGTTGAAAAGAACACAGACGTAGAATTAATTCAGTCATACCAAGAAGGAGCACCTCATGCTCACAGTTACTTTATATGTTATTAATTATAAATAGATTGAGTTTGTTATAAAAACTGCACTAGTGTATTCAGAATGATCATATTAAATGTATATCTGATGGTAGGATAATAAAATGATTTTCGGCTTAGATGCCGTTATGAATTACTCTGTGGCTTAGAGCTCTGCAATAAATCAGTTTTATTCATTCTCTGACTATAAGAAAATGATTCTTTCCCTCGCTATCTATGTATCAAGGGGACATTTCAAAATACAGGGGGACATGTACATGGGAGCATTTCAAACTCCAGATCAGCCCCAGATATTAGGTGATAAGTTGTTCGGATATCACAATGGACTCAGAATAGCACAAAGCTCTGGTGCTCCTAAAATTTAGGTTTGTATTTTCCATGGAGCTACTTTCAAATTGAAGTGAAGGTCAGGGGAGATGATTTATATATGACTTTATCTTATGTCCAGTTGCACATGAATTTGTTTTCCATACTAAAAGTATACACTGTACTTTATTCAGGCCATTTCATCTAAAGTATTAATGTCTTTGCTAAGCATTTTAGAGAATTCTTCATTGGTCACTATACCGAAAAAAATGTTGACAGGATTATGTATGTGTTTAGAAATACAAAGGCAGATTTATTATTTAGTGGTTGTGCTAAGATATAAATATGGAACTCATTTAACTTATCCCGTCTAATCAGTGTCTGTAAAACTGGAGGAGTGCAGTGGAGAACTGAGTCGGGCTTCATTTGGGGAATCCATGTTGCACAAAGAACAGAACAGGAGATTTTATTGAAGTCTCTGGGATGGCTCATACTGATACACTTCATTCAACTTGTCCTGCTCTCCTAGGTCCGCCTACCTTCCTTCCTGGAAGGACTATAGGGAGGTCACCAGCTAGTCCTTGCTAAGTGCTTTAGAGGTTGACTCTGCCTTCCCTTCTGCGGTGGTCTGGTGCCAGGTATTTGGGAAGGTGGAGACCTTTAGGATGTGGTCTCCCTGGTCCAGAACAGATAGCCCAGTTGGAGAGACAAGGCAAACTAGGAGCAGTGCAATAATCCAAGACATTTTCCTACCTGAGTAGTATGTATACTTGCATTTTATTTTTTTGTAATCCTCTTCAATGACCTTGTGACTGAGAAATAGCTATCATCTACAACATCTTTTTCTGTGTAGGGAGACCAACGGTTGTATCTTAGAGTCAGATCTGATATTCACAGAGCTTCACAGGTCACCACTGTAACTTTCCTTTTCCTGCAGTAGGCTTCCAAGGGGGAATCCAGAGAAGGTTTGAATGAGGTCTCTTAGCCTCCATTCCTGGCTCAGGATACTCTTATTCATTCAATTCTACTGCATTTGGGGAAAAAACAGATAGTAAACACATGGCACTAAGTTTCTTGGATAGAAGAGAATTGTTTATGATCCTAAGTTATTTTTACATTTGACATTTAGAGTGAGAAAGCTTCCTATTTTGGGGGCATCATAAAGAGAGACATAGTAACCAAGTGTGGTTAGAGGTGTTCAAATTTGTCCCGTCTCCACGGTTTGGTTTTCAGAATCAATGCTTACATTGAAGAGGAAGTCCAAAGACGTCTTCAGAATTTGTATCGTACAGTTGGTGATTCTAGGAATACGTCTACAGATATGACGAAGGTGAGCAGAGGGAACTATTTGCTTTTCAAAATGACCTTGTTGATAAGTTAGTAGCGGCAGTGCTAGTGTGAGGGCTTATATTACTGCTACGTAAGGGAAAATTTAGATGTGGGGTGTTCTACATAAATCATATTAACTATTGCTTGGATTGAGCTCAACAGTTAACAAATAGTTTAATTCAAGAGTAACTTTATTTTATACTTTTGTAATTTTGAGAAAACTCTTACTAAGTGAATGTAAAGTCTTCTAAAATGCTTCACTGTGTTTTGTTTGATTTACAAAAATTCTACATGTAATATGTATCTGTTTTCTCCCAAAATACAGCCAATTTCCACAAGTATTTAATTTACTTTGTAAATTATTCAAAGTAGAAATATATTTTTCCCATTGAGGGATTTTTATCAATTTGTAAAACAATTCATTTCTAGCCTGCGAATTAAGAAATATACTAAGAAACCCTTCCTTGCAATATTATTCATAGAATTTTAAGACTAGGAATAAATGGTTCAGTTCTCTTTCAGGCAGATAGATCTATAGAGTACTGTTTACCTTTAGCATATAAATTCTATAGAAGGGTTGTCATTGTTGAATGATAAGTATGTTTCTTTAGAATTTTGTTCCCATAAATACTTCTAATTGAATCAGTTTTTCTCCCCTTTATGAACATGCTATAATTTAATATAGAGGGCCTTTTATTTTCTTTTCAGGATAATGAGAAACTTCACAATGGCACCATTCAACGTAAGCTAAAATATGAGGTAGGTAATGATTTTTCAGATTGATAGGGCCGCTTAAATTATGGCATGCTTGTGTGATTAAATTTTCTTAATGTTTAGTTGCATAATTAGAATTTTGAAGTCCCAGTGAGATTAATGGCTAATGGGGAAGGCAAGCTATTATGTGGACTTAAAATTAAACGAGATCCTGCAGGTTGAAAACTGCTCTGGCTTCACTTGAGTGGCATGTAGCTGTGGTGGAGCTTTGCCCAGGTTTTCCTTTGTAACAGTATCCTTTCCCTTGGTCTGCATTTAAAAGGCAGAATTATATAATCAGATACAGGGTTTGGAAGGGAAACTGAGCACTTCTCCATGTTTTAAAAACTTTTTTTTATATATAGACTATGAGTTGGCATTAGTACAAAGGAAATATTCTTGATTCATTAGGTTATTTCTCCGGTGGATTGTCATACTAACATTTATTTGAGCATACAGTTTGTAAGATTGTGCTTGTTTTTCTTGGTCTTTGGAGCCTATCCTTCCTGTGAGTTCTAGATTTGAAAACAAAACATAACTGCTAGGTGGTAGAAGTCTTACCACCACTGTCTATACTGAACAGAAAGCACCAAGTTGAATGTTCTACCATGAGCATGACTGACTTGACTGTGACTACCACCTGGTAATGACTTTATGCCCTTCTGGGCACCATCTCCTGAACAGGTAACCCCAGGAGGGACACAGTGCCACCGTTCATGTCTTTGTGTCCATGGTGCCTGGCACATAGCAGGCCTGCAACAAGCTTTCCCTGATGGTGGTGACCTAACTGGGAGGGCACAAGTAAGGATCCCCAGGAAATAGACTGAAAAATGGGAGGCGTGTGACCTGGGTTGGAACACCTATGAACTTCCCTTGGCCTTGCCTTCTGATTTTCATGATGTATGCCCCGATGATGGTTTTACATTTTGGACATATAATCATGCATTTATTTTCACATCTAAGTGTGACATTTTAAACATGGAGGCAAAAGCCTTGGAATTTACTTCAGAGAAAACAAAATCTTAGACCAAGAAATGGATACTGTGCATCAACCCTGTACTCTGTACTTGTATCAAATGCTCAGCAATTTATAAGCTATATCACACAGACATTGATGTGCTATGTATAAATGAGATCTTCTTAAATCATGTATCAATCAATACCAATGGCTTAGGCTCTCTCCTTAACCTCTAAATTACTCCTCCCAATGAAATCATTAACCACAAGAATCATCATGTGCAAAAGGCTCACAGGAAGTGATACTACATGCCCCTTTCAACTTTTTTTGACCTGTTGAACAGACAAGGCAGTCTCAGCCAGCACAATGCGTTGTCTCTCTCCTGCCCAGCAACTCCACTGACACTGCCCACATCGCTGTGAAAGAAGAGAGGAGAGAGGCAGCACAGAGTGGCCACTGGAGTCATCTCCTGCTGGGGAGCAGGCCAGGTCCCCGAGCGTCCTGGTCTTCCTCTGCATCATCACAGGAGGGAAGGGATCTATCCTTGGGGGCTGCAATACTGCCCAGTGGCAGGTGCAAAGATCTCCTCAAGCAGTGTGACCACCCAGAGCCAGAGTGCCTTCATCTACCTGAACGCGCTTTTCTTAATGGGAAGGAGATCAGCGTTGTTGCAGAGGATTTTCAGGACAGGACAGAAGATCTCAGTAAACCAGTTACTTGTGAGGATAAACACAGCTGGGCAGCTGAGTCCAGTTGGACCTGGCTGCAACGCATATCCCAACAAGTGCCTACAGATAGCAGAAGCAGGCTGGTCAGGCTGAGCGGGGCTCTCCACTTTGTTCTCCCAGACACTGCTTCTTGGAAAGAGTATGCACCTGGCAGCACACCTCCCAGTGGCCTGGCCCCCACCGTTTGTGGTGAGCAAGATGAGAAAGCTTTAGTTGCTGAAAAGATTAGCTCTGCAGCATTACTGATAAATATCAGGGCAGAAGGAAACAGTGGCCTGGGATATTTTTACCACAAGTTCTCAGACCTTTATAAAGACAGCAGTCGTCACCTGCTGCAGGCAGGCACTGCAGTGATCAGCAGAGCCATGCATGTGGGGAGTCTGTGTGCCCCAAGTGGGCTCACCTCGCACCTGACAGCATTCTTCCAAAGCCTGCCGGTGCTGAAGCAGCTGCCCCTGGCCATGTCCTTGGAGTCACACATGGCGTCATCAGGACTCCACTCTGTTCCTGGAACTCAGGTTGGTGGTGGCAGCAGCAGTGCAGAAGCAGGGAGCCTGGTGCCAGTGGAGAGCACCATGCCTTATGTTCCCTCTGCCTTCAGGGCTCCAGGGTTACCAGGCTCCTCACCAAGCTCAGTTTTCCACCTTGAGTACGAAGATGCTGGACGGAGCTGTGTATTTATACAGACCCTCGTGCAGTTCCCGGCTCTCATGCTGAAATTGCAAGCGTGCCCTTTCAGAGACCTTCAGGAGCATGTGGCTTCTGCCCTGCCTGGCCCTCTGGACAACGTGAAGGAAGTCAGGGGCATTTACTGGCTGGCTGTGGCCAATTGCTCAGACCCTGAGCCCCGGCCAGGGTGCCTGCTCCTACTTCCCTCAGCGTTGTATGCTTTGATCCTGGCAGATAGTTGCCCAGGCTCACTGAGCATTTTTCATGCTCTGCCTCTGTCTGGACTGCAGGAGATTCAGGTTGGCTTTGGCGGGCAGAGCATCCGATTCCTGGGCTCTACAGAAGGTCTCCTGCTCACAGCATTCACTTACAACAAAAGCCTCTCCCAGCAGCTCTGCCGCGACCTCCTGTGTGTGCTGGCATCAAAGGCTGAAGCTGCTGCCTGCGCTAACCATCCTTTGCTCCAGAAAGATTTGGTTCAGCTTTCTCTTGATTGGAAAGCAGAAATCCCAGCTTTAGCTTTGGCAAATGGGGTTCAGTTGTCCTCCAAATTCCAGACCACTTTGGTTGACATGGTTTATTTTCTTCACGGCAATATGGAAGGTGACATCCCTTCTCTGGCAGAGGTTCAGGTGTTGCTCTACACAACAGTCAGCGTTGAAGTTGAGCCGGGCTGTGGCCTGTGCCAATCCCTGGTCCTGCTGAACACCCACCTTGCGCTGGTGAGGGAAGATGGTGTGTTTTATCCTCACACTGGGGCTCTGAGCACGCTTCCCCCACGTGTGCCCTTTGATGTGATCCGGTGCTATGCTCTGAGTGAACTCAGGTGCGTCATTGTTCCAGAGAAGAGCAATTTATCAACAGTAGAACTTGTCTTCTTACGAAAACAGGGGCTTGGGTCGGATGCAGAAAATGGCCCATCTGTGGCCCATCAGGCAGTGCCAGGTGCCCGGCTGTTTGCCACCCCACCTCAGCCTCAGGGTGGTCTGAATGAGGCACCCGAGGTGTGGAAACTCACTTTTAATTCTCAGGATGAGGCACTTTGGCTAATCTCACACTTGACAAGACTCTAGGAAGGGGACTTATAATCTGCAGCATGGTTTTCATCAGATCTTTAATAAAATGAACTTTTTTTCCTCTCCTTTTTTTATTAGTATGTGTTTGCAATGCGTAGTAGATACATTTCATCACGATAAACTGGTACACGTACATATTACCTCTTGATCCCAAAGAAAAAATAATTCCAAACACAAATAAAATGAACATTACGAAAACAGTCAAGGGCACTTGCGTATCTTAGTATAGCTGATCAAATTGCAATTGGAAGAAAGACCTCTCAGATTGAAAATGTAAATATTTTAAATATTACAGTAGGATGAAAACAGGTGGTGGGAGAGAGGTGATAAAATACCTTTATTATCACCTGCTTCGTTTCCTTGAAACCCGGGCTTGTAAATTTGGGTCCGCTTCGTTGTTAGCGAGGTGATTACAGCATTTCTGATTATTTCACTGTGTGTCAATTTATCGGGTGGTGGCTCAGAGTCTGTCTGTGCTTGCTGATCCTGCAGGCTAATTTGTGCTGCCTGCAAGGCAGTGACCTTCACCGACACCCTCGCTCCAGCACGATTCGGTCCTGTGTGGCAGCGCCTCTTAGTGCTATGCGGCGTGCTCAGTCACCCAGCGCAGGTGGGAGAGCACTGCCTGCCCTGCTGTGTCTTCTGCCCCAGCTAATTGCTTCTCCTCCCTTCTCTCAGGCTTCTTGACTATTCCTTTGTAGCGCCTGACCTGTTGGTTTATTTTCTAACTACTCTTTGCAGTTTGCCCACTCCCCCAGCTCCTACCACAGTCGTTATTTCTCTGAACTTTAGTATTTCTACCTTAGAAAGACTCTTCACCTCAGAGGTTTTTCCTAAAGGCTTCTTTCTGCCATCCCGTCAAATATAACGTTGTCTGGGAAGACAGCCTGCACTTTCCCTGGCTGCCCGCCCTCTTGCCTCTTGCCATAACCATCCTAGTAACCTCTGAAAAGGAGCCCTGCTGGCTGAGGTTGGTATCTGCCTCTGCCCTGCCCGGCTGGGTCTTCCCTTCTCAGGAATTTCCCTCCTGTCCCACTTAGGGCATCAGCAGTGCTCCTCGGAGTGCTCTCTCTTGAGAGACACCTCCCTTTTTTCTGCCTTTGTGCCACAGTCCTGTGTACACTCAGGAACACCTTTGTGTTTATGTCATATTTCCCTTGAGCCTGGTCACTCTGCCACTGTTGCCCTGCCTCTGAGGGTCTGGCATACTGAACTCCAGCATCTCACAGGGCAGCAGCACGCCTCTTCTGCCCTGCCACCGCCCTCCTGCTCCGCTGCCATCACACATTTATTTTTCAGTTCTGCTCAAATCTTTGGACAGTGGGCACCATAAATGTAACCTCTTTTTCATTTCTGTTACTTATTGGTGACGGGGATGGTGTCAAAATGTAACCCATCCGGAAGCTCACTCCTCCCTCGGGCAGGCAGTGCACATCTTCCCTCTTTCCACACTGGAGCCAGTGACAGGTCTCTCAAGGCTTCAAGTTTTCATCTGGTGTCCTCCACCCAGTTTTGGGGAAGCAAAGTGGAAAACCCAGGAAGTAGGAGAATATGCAAGGATCTACACCCTGGTGG